TGAACCGATTCCCGGTCTTCGGTCCCCCTCCAGTAGCCCAAGGCCGTGTGGGGCAGAGCAAGGGGGAGCCGCATCTGTGGGGCCCGTGGTCAGACACAGGGGCCGCCCTTTCCCCTGTGACCCTGCAAACGGTGGGGACAGCCTGGGAAGGCTGGGAGCATGTGATCTCCTGTGGGAAAGCCCGGGGCCTTAAGCAAAGTCCATCTTTTGCGCCGAGGGCAGCGTGACGCCTTTCTCTTTTGTAGCTGGAGAAGGAATATGGATGGCTCCATTTATAGGAAAAGCCTAAAGAAAACGCTGGAAGTCTTGGTGGTCAAGTTTCCCTCGTCGGATCTCTGGGCTCTGCCAGGGGTGAGTGGTCAGAGGCCGGGGGACGGGCTCAGGGAGCGTCGGCAGCTCGTTCAAGGCAGAGAGGTGTTACCGGCAACACGCTGCCGAAACGTGAAACAGACGGGCCCATGGGACCCTGCAGCAGGGAGTTCAGTGCCTCTTGCCCCCCAGGCCTGGGGGCCGCGTAATCCTGCCAGAACAGCCCCCGTTCTCCATTGGGCCATGGCACCTTGTGGAGCTATGTGATACTCCGAGTGGCATTGCCTCGGCCCAGCAGGCGATCAATAGGCCTCACCACTGGCCTCCTTGCTCGGGTCACAGCCAGTTCTTAGGAGAGTCCAACCCTAGTTGAACCCTCTCTTGCCCCCCAGGCCTGGGGGCCGCGTAATCCTGCCAGAACAGCCCCCGTTCTCCATTGGGCCATGGCACCTTGTGGAGCTATGTGATACTCCGAGTGGCATTGCCTCGGCCCAGCAGGCGATCAATAGGCCTCACCACTGGCCTCCTTGCTCGGGTCACAGCCAGTTCTTAGGAGAGTCCAACCCTAGTTGAACCCTTGCCTTGGAATCTCCTGTGGCAGTGAGTTCCAGAGGTGAATTGAGCTCTGTGCAACACCCTGTCTCCATGTACCCGACATTTCTGTGTCCCCTCACGCAGTGCCCAGGCCTCCCTGAATATCCCTCAGTCTGGGCCATGGCATAGTAGGGGACTCCTGCTTGCGGAGGGGCGACGTGCAGTGCGGACCTGAGGGGGAACATCCCCCCTAAATGCTGTGAGCAGGAGGGGTGAGGGACCAGCCAGCAGCCAAGCCCCTGGGTGGCCCGGGGAAATAGCGGGGGGCTGGCGCCTGCAGCAGGGGCCGGGTCCCTACACTCAC